CTTCCCTCTGCTTGGAAAGCCTATGCTCCAAGTCCTCAGTGGGATGCTTCTGCTGAGCCTCCTTCTCAGTCAAATCCAATTTGAACTGGGCTGTTTTGCCAGCTCGTTCTCCTGGGGGCTGCTTAGCTCCAGCAACGGCTTCCTGTTGGGACCCTAAGGAGCCCGGGCGGGCAGGCAAGGAGTGGCTGGGAGGGGAGGGGCGAGCAGAGGCTGGCGAGGCACTCCTCGATGTGAGTGACATTGAGTTGGCCATGCTCACCCAGTCACATGCCCACCTAGCCACGCCCAGCCGGTCATTAGGCAGACCGTATTAGTGGTGCGCGGCATTTAAAATTATGAATTTAGTGATCCCTGAGGCCCGAAAGGTTGGAGACCCCCGCTTTAGCTGACAAATCTTGGTTGGGTCTCTTTACTGTTTTCCCCCCTGTATTCTGCCTAGAGCTGCCCAATATGCCTGCACCCTACTGGGCTATGCCCTGCAGAAGAATGGAGCTGGCCCCGATTTCCTCGCTAGGATCAAGCAGCTGGAGGCTCATCTGAGTTTGGGACGCAAGCGTAAGTGTGGAAGGGGGTTGTTTGCGGCGGGAGGACAGAGGTACAGCGGGCATTTTGGCACTGGCAGGGCAAGAAGGTGGGCGGAAGGGGAGTGAGAATTGAAATTATAATACAAATAATGAAATTATCAAAAGAAAATTGATTAGAATAACAAAAAAAAAAGCAATTGCTTGCCAATCCACCCAGTATATTTCAAGGAGTGCCCCCATTGGCGAGTGGGAGAAATAAGCCAGAGGGGTTTGTGCCCATCTGTGACTCCATCCTTCCTTTCCAGTATTCCGGCTGGGGAACTCTGCAGATGCTCTGGAGGCGGCTAAAAGAGCCATCCACCTGTCCGATATTGTCCTCCGTTTCTGCATCACCGTGAGCCACTTAAATCGGGCCATGTACTTCGCCTGCGACAACATCCTGTGGGCGGGGAAATCGGGCCTCGTCCCGCACATGGACCATGAGAAGTGGAGCCAGCGGTCATTCAGGTAAGATGCCACACCCCTCCCTCCCTCTCCACCTCCTCCCAGAGAGATTTGTCCTCTGCTTGAGGGCTCTGGGTCGTGGAGAAAACGGCTAATCCTGAGAACACAAAAGCTTATAACTTGGTGTTGCCGGGGTATTTATTTATAGGTCTGGACCAAACGTAATGTTTCTGATTTTGGATTTTCCCGCTTACCAGAGGGAGCCCCCTTGTGGAGTACTGTGAAGCCGTTACCATGGCAACTCCACTGTGCTGTACAGTAGAAGCCCTTTAACGGCAGTACGGTAGAAGCCATTTGAAGGCACAGCAGGTGTATCTTAACAGAGCACACACCCCGAGGGGTGTTACGGGTATCTTACTCCCACAGTATTATAAAACATAAAAGGCCTTGATAATTTTTTATTATAATAAAGTTATTGTTTTTCTAAATACAACTAACATATTTATGAACAAAGGGTTGTCCAGGTTTTTTTCCTCTCACATCCTCTTTTGTACATAATCCATTTTACATCATAAATCTATTTCCAATTTCAGGTTTATTATTCTCTTTCCATATTTTCCATTTTAAACTTATTTTCTTCTTTTTGCATAAATGATATCATTAATCGGCCCTTCAGAGTTATACCAGATTATGTCATGATTCCTCTTTTCATATATTTTACCCTAATGAGACCATCCAATTATTTTTTTCATTTTTAGTTCCTTTTTCTTCTGTTCCTGTTCTTCTGTTCTTTTGTTCTTCAATTAAGCCCCATCCATAATACTAATTTGACTAAATTAACAGGGTTAATCCCCCCATTTTTTCATCATAAACCTATTTTCTTCTTAGTATCTAAACAATATCACCAATTCCCCTTTCAGATTTAAGCCAAATTAGCCTTTCCTCTTTCATCTATTAGCCTATTTTACTGTAAATTACGTAGATACTCAATGTCAGTTTTTACATAGAAAACATTTAGCTTAACAATTAGCCTTGATCATTTTATGCGAGGATTTTAAAATATTAGGTTGACTTTGGGAGAAATAAAATCCACCTAGGATTTCAGGATTTTTCACTCTCTGCGCTCCCCCCCACCTCCAGATATTACCTCTTCGCGCTGATTATGAACTTGAGCCGGGATGCCTACGAGATCCGTCTCCTGATGGAGCGCGAGACCAACTCGAAATCTCAGAAAGGAAGCTGCAGAAACGGCCCGTCCAGCCCGGGGGAGGACCCCAACCATCGCTTCCAGCAGCTGGCCCTGAAGCTGAAGCTGCAGCTCGCTCTCCTGGCGCAGGTGCTTCGCAACAACCCTCCCCTCCTCCTGGACCTGATGAAAAACGCCTGTGACATTTTCATCCCTTTGGACAAACTGGGCATGTACAAGACCAGCTCGGGCTTCGTGGGGCTCTGCGGCCTGACCTCGTCCATCCTTTCCATCCTCGCCATCCTCCACCCGTGGCTGAAGCTGAAACCTTGAACGGTGGCCGAGAGGGCTGGCTAAGCTGAGCCGCTTCCTCTCCTAAATTCCCAGCTCCGGAAACTAGCTTGGGGGTGCTAATTCTCAGCCAGGCAGGCGCTGCTTGAGATGCGGAAGTTCCTCTGAACTTGGGGGGTGGGGGAGATGCAGGGGGGGGGGGACACTCTTCTTTTGTCACTCTTTGAGCCCAGCAGGTGGAGAAGCAACTCTGGTAATGGACCTTGTGGGGAGCCGTTAGTATTTGGGGTTATCAGGCCGGGGATAACTAGAGTTTCAGTCTTTCCGTGTCTTATTTATTTAGGAAGAAACGAATAAATGAAAACTACACTAGCCACGTTGTAGGTGAATGATGATCTCCCTGACAGCTATGACAAAGTTTTGTTGCTTCTTACTTAAGAGATTGAGTGGTTAAAAAACCAGTTTGTTCCTTGTGTTCAGGGCCTTTCGGCTTTTAATAGTTGGGAGTGAACAGAGGTCTTGAGAATGTGAACAATGTTTGGACCAGTGTTTCTCAACCTTGGCAACTTGAAGATGTCCGGACTTCAACTCCCAGAATTCCCCAGCCAGCATTTGCTGGCTGGGGAATTCTGGGAG